AAAAAAAAAAAAAAAAAAAAAAAAAAAACATTCAGCAAAATAAAGCATACTTGACTTGAAAGAGAACTTGTAAAATCTATTAATAGTCCATAAGTTAATTTATTGTGCATTTGAAATACAATATTATATATATATATATATATATATATATATATAACAATATATATGTATATATTTATTATACTGTTCCATACATTTATTTGGACCGTGCATATCAACACACACACACACACACACACACACACACACACACACACACATATGTATTTGGTGGTGACCTTTCTGATTTTTTTTCCCATTTTGGTGTGTGATGACAGGTTTTGTGGGGGTGTTTACTGTGCCAAAGATCTGCGCTACCTATTCGTCTCAGTTAACTGAATATGGTAAACAAAAATTTTTACATCTTTAAGGTTATTTTGTTTTATAATTGTTTTAGATTTTTATATAGTTATTACCAATTAACATTTATTATTTTATGTATGTCAAAAAGAGAAACAAATTTTATGTTATTGTTTGTATCTAATATATATAACTGACCCACCTTGCAACCTTTTTACTAAAGTGAAGATGGGGGTTTGAAAGATAAATTAAGGATTTGAAAGTGAAAGAAGAAAATGTAAACAATATCATATCTACTAATTATTGTAATTTCGCAGTTGAGAAAAAAAAAATAAAATGAAACATTACTATTTACTACATTAGGTTGTTCTTCCTTTCCTCTTATAAATGGTGTGCGCATATGCATGCTATTCAAGTCTCACTTTCTCAAAACAATATGAGGAACACAAATACTCATAGTCCTATTGTTGCAAATTACTACAAAATTGAAGGTACATTTTGGGTTCAACGATTTGGGGGTGCTTGGAAGTCATGTGCTCATAAAAAAGCAGTTGCATTTGTCATCTTCACTCTTGTGTGGAATTTTTCATCGATTACAGCTCGAATATGGGCAGGTAAGTAAGCAATTAACATTTATTTTCTTTTACAATCACCCTGTATATAATTCACGAATTTATTGAGTCTAAGTAGCAGGCTTTCACGCTTCTAAATCTTATGTTAAAAAAATTATGCTTCGGAGTTAGACTTAAATATAAATTATTATATTTTATACAAAATAATTAGGCTTCTGTTTCATTTAATGTCTATATTATTCACATTAACTCCATGATTGGTCTCTTCCTTATTTTCTTCTACATTTAGTTACCATAAACTATTTTTACGTTTTGTTTTCCTACATTACCATATATTACGTTTCATTTTCTTATTTACTCCATGCATCGATTATTATAAATGTTTCTTTTTCTTTTCTTTTTTAAATAAAAATTATAATTTTTGTATGTATTTCATTTTAGATATATGATATATTTATAAATAAAATTTAAATTTATTTTTTAAACTAAATTAAATAGTATTTAATAAAAATATAAATTATATTATAAAGTAGGAGTTTTCCAATACAAGACCTATAACATACCATGCAATAGTTACGTTATTTGGAAAAAATATATAATTAAATTTGAAGATCAAATTAAAATAAAAATATATTATTAATGTTTATGTCTCAAGTTAAAAAAACACTACATAGAGATTTAACATTATAATGGTCTTAAAAAAACGAATATATCAATAAAATATTTCTTATATTTCATAAATTTTAAAATATTACACTGATACATATTATATTTTCAATTATGAAATATTTTAAAATTGAAATATTTTAAAATGTATTAGATGAGGGAAGAAAACTGTATAATTTTGAAATATAATTACAATATAATCAAACTTGAAAAAAATTAAATTGAATTCAAAATCAAATTATTGAGTTGTAGGTAACATTATATATGTGGGTGTGTGTGGATAAGAATTTTTCATTTTGACAAATCAGTTATAAAACATGGGTATGTTTTTAAATAATTAACCATCTTTTTATTTAGTTCTTTATTTAATTTTTAACTATTATAAGAATATAAATTTAATCACTTCATTATTTTGATACAAATATTCAATTTCAAAACACTCGTATTATTTACGGGCATTATATTAACTGTCAAATAAATCAATTATTCTATTTAATTTTGATAAAACTGAATATATATTAAATTAAACAAATAATGCTTCATAAAAATATTTTCTACAATTCCAAATAATATTAGAAAATTACATATTAAACTATTTGTAGTTTTTTTTATTTCACAATGACAATTTCAATTCTTTTTGTTGCACAATTATATTTGTATGAAACAACTGTCTAGTTCACGGGCATTGTAATACTAGCATTAATAAAAACATAATAATGCTAAGTCTTTCTCAAGTTACTTATAAAATTGGTTATTTTGAGAAAATCCTCCCCTAAAACAACTTAAGAAACAGAGAATCCTAACAACCTAAAACGTTTATAAAAAACAAGAGAAAACCCGTACTTAGCAATGTAAAGGTCTTGAATATAAATCAAAATATTGGGAGAGTCTTCTTACAGTACACAGATTAACTTAATAATCCGAATCAATTATTTATATGTGGTTGTAATGCAGTGTTCATGTTGTTTGTGGCGTTCAAATACAATCAGCAGCCATTGATCAAAGATGGATGGGAGAACGAAGAAAGAGGCAGAAACATGGAAGGACATAAGTTGAGACGGAATTCGGCCGCAATTGAAACAAGAAAACAGAAGAAAGCGTGTTGAGAAAGGGGGTTTTGTATAGTTATAGGAATTGTGAGTGAGCTTTAATATATATATATATATATATATATATATATATATATATATATATAATTACTGGCTCTTCTGCATTTAAGAAAACCTAATTAATTTTACCTAGGTGACACTTTCCCGCCATTTTACGTTACTGTTCATTTTTTTTTTCTTCATTAACAGCTCATATTTGGAAAGAAGTTGACTGTTTTAAAAATGGCAACCAATTAATTCTGAAATAATAACAAGTTAATGTTGTTCCCATATTTTTTTAAACATATTAAATATTCTCCACAATTAGCAGTAATCATTTTTTTTAATAGCAATTATTAAATCAAACGAAATAAATGAAAACAAATAAAAAATTAAAAATATTACAACCAACTAAAAAAATAAATTTAAAAAAAAAAAACTCAAATGCTCCATCTCCTGTCAATTCCTGCAAAAATAACAAAATAAAAGATTAGTCAAAATAAGTAATTATAAGTAATTATAATTATCAAATTTCAATTCCAAAATTTGAGAAAATTACTGTTTCAAAATCATAAGAAATTATGCGCGAATCTGAAAATTGCAATTCCATATTTTTTATCTCATCTCAGCTCACAACTCTAATTAAAATAATATAATCAATATTCCATATATTTTGCTAATCTCATTACTCTAATAAAAATAAATATTAAATATCCCATATTCTTTGCAAATCTCATAACTCTAATAAAAGTTCACAAATAAATGGTGTTGGTCAAATAATCAATATCAGCCTAAATAAGTAATTATAATTATCAAATTACAATTCCAAAATCTGAGAAAATTACTGTTTCGAAATTAGAATAAATTAGGCGGGAATCTGAAAATTGCAATTCCATATTTCTTATCTCATCTAATAACTCTAATTAAAATAATATAATTAATATTCCATATTTTGCTAATCTCATTACCCTAATAAAAGTTAAATATTAGATATCCCATCTTCTTTACAAATCTCATAACTCTAATAAAAATTCAAAAATAAATGGTGTTGGTCAAAGAATAAATATCCCATATTTTTTTCTCATCTCATAACTCTAATAAAAAATAAATATTAAATGTTCAATTTTATTTGCAAATATAACAATCCTAATAAAAAATGTGAAATTAATGTGGTCGGTCTACTTAACTATTTTCTCTTCTAATCTCATAACTAAAATAAAAACAAAATATTGAATATCCCATGTGTTTGTCAAATCTAATTACTCTAATAAAATGTTAATATTAAATGTGGCTGGTCAAAGAATTAATACAAATTGCTTTATTTTTTTAATAAATCATTTATTTAAATTGTAATTATCATTCAAATTAATTTGTAGTGATTCCTTTTTCCCAAATCCTATATAAATAGTGAACTCATTTGGCAAACACTCACTCCATTCCATTCTTTTCTAACAGCATTTACACGAGCCAAAAAACACTCACTTTCAAGTTTCAAAATTCCCAAAAACATCATGATTTCACAGTTGACAATTTAACTTACTTGGCAAAAAAAAAAAAAAAAAAAAAAATGGCTGCAAAACTAAAATTAGTGAGATATTTCCTCAAGTTCTACAGGTCCACCAAAGATAGCATTAGATAGCTACAATTTATATTTCATGATGTTTAAGTATTTATCTTTTTTCACGCATTTTATTATTGTAATTGATGTTTATATGTCAAATTAATAATTTGCTAATAATATAACTTTTTTTATTTTTTTAGGGTAAACAGATTCATGGTTCGTCACCCAGATTCTTGGCAGAAAAATTCAACGACTTTAACCTCATCGAAGGCGGTGTGTATGTCATTACAAGTTGGGACCTAAAGGAGGACAAGAGTGCATTCAAATTAAGCGAATCAAGCCACAAGTTCGAGTTTGGTCAAGAGACGAAAATGTACGAGGTGGTTGAAAACAACTACCCCAGGTTTTTGTTCAACTTCAAAGACTTCAAAGAACTATCCGACCCTCAAACAATCGATTCCAATAAAATTTTTGGTAATTTTTTTTTCTCTTCATGGATTTAAGTATTATTTCTCTTTTGCTACAATGTATAAAGTTAAATTATATTGTTCAATTGTTTAATTTTTTAGATTTGATTGGACGCTTTGGTTCAAAGCGTACGAACTACAAATTCAAATGGAGTGGAAAAGAAATTCATAGACGTGGTTCTAGAAGATGTTGAGTAAGTTAAAGATCATAAGCACTTCGTTTTTTTTAAAGTAATTACGTTTTGTTTCATATTAAAAAATAACTATCTATTATTTTGTAGAGGCTGTATTTTGACTTGCATATTATGGGAAGTCATTGTTGATGCCTTGAACAATTATCCCGTGACTGACTTGCATGTAGTAATTGTGAAAATTTGCCGAGCGAAGGCTTTTGATGATGGTACGTCATTCACATTGAATTAATTTTTTTTAATCACTTATAATTTATGTTGCTCTCTAAAAAAATTATTCTCTTTTAGGATCTATAAAAGCTGGTAACATTTTTTATGCTACCAAGCTAATCATGGGTGATGTACCCGAAATTGTGGAATTCAAATAAAGGTATTGATAATTATGATTATTTTTTATACTTTCTTATTATATCATAATAATAGACTTCATCAATTAATTACTAATATTTACTTTTTCAAAATTTATTTGTTGAATTTAAAGGTACAACTCACACACAAGGCAAAGCGATTCATCATTCAAATATGTGAGGCCCTACATTTCTAATGTTCGTGATGATTTGGAGTCGAGAATTTCTCCATTCAAAGGCTTGGCTGAATTTTTTAAAGCTAATGAGATAAAAGCATATTATAAAATAATTATTATTACTATAGATGTAATTGTTACATCTACGAATTTATTAATTAGTTTTCATATCACTTATATGTTATGTTACTTATGTCTTATTTTCAGGAAAATAATTTTTGGATATATAGAAACATCATTGACGTATCGGACAATTGGTACTTCAAATCTTGCCCAAATTGTGTTCGAAAAGTGGAGCCCAAAGAAGATAAATTTTTGTGCAATTATTGCAAGGACTCGATTCCTTTTGCGATACTTAGGTAATTGTATTTCACATTTCATTATTATCGTTCATATTTATATGATCTAATAATATATTATTTTTAAATTTTAAGGTACAAGCTCCATATTTCAATTGTGGACGACAATGGCATTGTACCACTGCTGTGTTGGGATAAAGTCGCTAGAGAATTAATTGGAAAATTGTGCGAAGATGTTTTCAACGACATGTTGAAGGCATGCACATTTATGTTTTCGTCTAAAAGCTCTAATGATTAATTACATATCAAAGTCTTATTATTCTCATGGTATATCTATTATGCAGCAAGATGATGGAGCTATTTTGCCAAATGAGATTGAGCTTTTGAATGATAAAGCAATAATGTGTAAAGTATCAAAGAAGAAGGATCAATTTGGATCTTATAAGGGTCCATTTACGATTTCTCGCATTACCTTTGATCCTATTTTGTTGGATAAGTTTGAACCATTGGCAATTATTTCACAGGTTATTACCTTCATAAATTTTATATAAAATATATAAAAATATTTTTCTTATGATTTCTAATTCATATTTTCTAATTATGAAGGATTCAAATGGTGAAGTGTACAGCCCAATCAGGGCTGTACAGACTGAAGTGAACAGCCCAAAAAGGGCTGTAGAGGATGAAGTGACAGTGAAGGTGAATAGCCCAATATGGGCTGTAGATGATGAAGTGAAGGTGAACAGCCCAATAAGGGCTGTAATTGCTGAAGGGTACATACAGCCCAATAAGGGCTGCAGATACTGAAGGGTACAACCCAATAAGGGCTGAAAAAGCTGAAGGGTACACCCCAATAAGGGCTGTAAATCCTAAACTGTGCAGCCCAATCAAGGCTGTAAAGGCTGAGGTTTACATCCCAAACAAGGTTGATAAGACTGAAATGTACTTGCCACTCATGGCTGCTAATGGCTGCAAATAAAAGATAAAAAAGAGGGAGGAAACTGAGCAGTTTGGAGAAGGATCAAGTTGTTCAGAAGAGCCAATAGGGAAGAAGATAAAGATTGAAGAATTTTGAAGTTTGAATTATGAGTTTCTGTAATCTGCTCCCAATTACATTGTTTTCCATGAATAATATTTCTGTTATCTAAGTGTGGATGTTTGTGCTATTAAATTATTTTAAATTAGATTCAGTCCTATTATTAAATTATCTATCAGTACAATCACTATATTTGAACCTCAATGAACAGGATTAAACAACAAAAGTAGAGAATACAACAAAACAACAACATGTTTTATCTAATCAAAACAACAAAGCAGCATAAACAGATAAGTTAATAAGCAAATAACTTAATCAGATCATATTAGGCCTTTAAAAACATATAATCATGCCTTTAAAAATAAAACCACATAAGGGTTTCAGTTTTAAAGGTTTCAGGGTTTAGGGTTTCAGGGTTTAGTGTTGAGGGTTTTCTATAATGTGTTCAGTCTTACTACACCATATCAATAGGATGACTGAAAATTCATTTAGTAATAATCATTTAGAACTTATAGAGTAAACTAAAAACAAATCTTCTATGTTCTGGGCATAACTGAAAGTACAATTTAAACATCAAGTTCTCGGCACCATAGTCTTTTTTCTAATAAAAACAGCAAATGAAAACAGCAAACACAAAGTATTCAAACACTAAGTAATACCTTTATCAAAATATCTATTTACTACATTAAACAACAACTTAATCATGCATTTAGGGGTATCATAAGAACAAAACCAGAATAAGTAATGTCATATAATCATGCTTTCAAGCTGTTCAGAAGACCTATTTAAACATCCAAAGTCCAAACACAAACAAAACCAACAAAGTGTGCAACATATAAACAGGCCTTTAAAAACAAATCCACAAAACCAAGCATAACACTTAATACAACAACACTTAATCACCACTAAATCATGTTGTTGTTTATGGTTTGTGGTTTAGG